CTTTATACTAAATGTTTCAGTAATTGTAAGAGGTGTTGAAAGAAAAATGAACAGTAAAACAGTAGCAAAAATATGTGTAACCTCATGGATCAATGGAAAACTTTTAAATAAAACTTGACAATTCAAAAGTGTACTTGGTTACCCACTTGAATAAAGATATTTTGAGTTTGAGTTTGAAATAAAGAACAAAGTGCAGTGTTGGCTTCAGTGTGCGACTCTCATGCCTCAGGTCATCGGTTTGATCCCCGGCTGTACACCAATGGACTTTCTGTCTATGTGCGCATTTTACATCCACTCGACTGGGGAGGAAAATCATCGTGAAGAAACCGGCTTGCCTTAGACACAAAAACTCGAAGACATGTGTCCGGCACAGGAGGCTGATCACCTACTCTCCAATTAGATTGACAGATTATGAAACAGATACATAAATCCTTAAATAAAATTTATTTTTATTTAAGGTTTACCCTAAAACTTAATTATCTTTTAAGATAAGACAAATACTGTAAATTTATATTAAAACTTATTAGATATAATACTTAATATCTTTTCAGTCAGGATAGAACCTTTCAGCTATTTAAAATATTAGAAGAATTTTGTCTGCTATTTTAATCATAGTAGCAAGCATAGCAAGTTTAAAATCGAAATTCCTGTCATATGTCCATATGACTTCAGTTCATTGTAAAATGTTATTTAATAGAATAATATGGTCTAATATAAATTTAAGGTGTTTTATTATTTGAAAATGCAAATTTTTTAAGTATATCAGTTACAGCTATAATCTCGTCTTGTCTTTCAGGCCAACAATTAAAAGCTACATTTTACAATTCCTTTAACTGGTGTTTCATTATTAAGAGTATAATCATTTTTGTAAATTCACTTCCCCGTCGTGTCTTTTGCAGGCCACAAAGGGTGTCTCGGGAAAAGGTAGCGGATGAATAAATAAAACAACTGGTTATTGTTTGAACAATGTCCATATTATATTTATTATTACCACATACACACGGCACGATGTGAACCTTGTCTTAAATCATTGTATTATAATAGGTATATGTACATTGCACAATGTGTATACATACATCGCCATACACGCGCGCCCCGTAAGGCTGTATGATTATATATCTCATAGTACGTAGTATTACGTTATTATAATGTTATATTCCAATAAGTTAAAGTGCACGGGTGCACGAAATCGGGTGGTGGTCGTTCCCACCGCTTTTACAAAATCTCTGATATTATTAATAAAGAGATGCCATAAAAACTAATTTATTCATCATACGATTTATATCCATATTGTATACAGATTCATTGTAACATACTATACACGAAGAAATGACGAAAATACCGCATCGGGACCGCGGCGAATGCGCGGCCCGTCCGCCTATCATTAACTTCTTTCCTAATTTAAATGTACATGACACCAAATTCGAACGTATATAAATCCAAATTTACTTTAATGTAAAATCTTAGGTAATTGATTTTTATTGCTATAGAAAATCAGTCAGCACGCGAAGCACGTAATCGAGAAGTAACCGCGAGAACGAAACGAAGCGGGCGGCGTTGCGCGGGGCGGGGAGGGGTGCCGGGGTTGTATTCGCGAGCGCCGGCCATAGCGGCACCGCCCGTGACGTCACACTACCCGTAGCTTCTCGTCCAAATTATACCGTCATAATCTATTAATACAAAAAGATGCGATGTATGAAATTGACAAAACTACAGTAGCCTTATTGATAAATATTGCCATATTTTTATCATTACAAAGATAAGTATCGTAAGAATTAAGAACTATTAGAGCTACAATAAGAAATTTAATTTATGTGAAGCGATCGTAAAAGGGTGTACAGAAACGTCCATGACGTCACAGAGGCAGCCGTTATGCCCTAAGCCCACTCTTGATTCTCAAACGCAATTCTCACAGACACGCTCTGTTGCTGCAATGATATCGAACAGTGTGTATCAGTTCGTGTGGAGCCAATGTGCGTCCGGTTCTACGCGAATTAATTTTTAAACTTTTGGTCCTTGAATCATTAAGTTGGCCGTTGCCGAGTATGCAAAGCTACTGATCTAAGGCCGCCACGGCGACTCTACGAACATTACCAGTCTGTCACTTTATTCCTTTAAAATTAATTATTATCTTTAATAACAATATAAGTAGTGTAAATTAATGTAGAAAGTTATTATACAAAATATAATAAATTATCTTTTTAGTTAATTTAATTTTATATATAGATGGATATTATACGATATTAGAATCACATAAAGAATTTTTAAAATTAATTTGAGATCTCGCTTATTAATTATTACGTAGTCTTTGATATAGAACACATCTCTAAAAACTGTGACTGAAATAAATCAACTAACGCGAATGTTAAAAGCGAGAGGAAGTGGTCGTTGTTGGGTTTGGGAGTAATGCTTTATCGACTGTGACGTCATTAATACTTCCAGAAGGTACTGTTGTGGATTTCATGTTTGTGACAAAAGATTACTCGCAAACCGAACTGCGTCAATGTAGCTCTCTACACTGGTCATAATATTATCATTATTTATTGCTTGCACACATCCGGACTTTTACTTTCTCTAAACCTCGTTACATATAACGTAACGACGACGAAATAATATTATGACCTGTGTCCGATCTAACCTCTAACTTACAAAAACTTAACGAAAGAATCATAAAAATAATGAAACTAATATCTTTGTCAAGCTAATCCTGATTGCGGCTCGAATGAGTCTAATAATATCGATCAGATGGTATTGACTAAGTCTTTTTACATGCGGCTATCTATGTATATACAATAGTATTATTTTGTCTTAACCGTCTCGTGCAATCGCGGCGAACCGATGGCTTCTCACGAACGGGCGAAACGAACTCACTCACTATAATAATTAAGTATGTTTGTACTCGATCTCGCACGGGGATAAGCGGCCCTGTACGCTTCTCCTACATTAAAAAGGTCGGTAAGAAAATATAATTATAGTGAGGATGTAAATGTGAATGAAAAGCCGACGGCGGAACGGAGCGCGCGCATCGCCCCGCCGCCGGCCCGGGCCTAACAATATAACATTTCATAATAATTAAATATTCTAAGAAAAAATGTCTTAAATACCTACAACACCGTAAATATAAAATAAATGGTTACGTTAATTTGTTAGGTATGATATCGTTCTCCGGTCTTATGATAGACTCACACCTTCGTTTTAATTATCAATTTCCTAGCTAACGTTTAACAACATAATCGCGGTCGCGTTTCCAGTGCAGCACGGCACCGACGCGCGCGCCGGTGACTGTGCGACGCGTTTGAGCGGACTGCGAGCTCCGAGCCGATCCAGTCGTCCGAGAATAGCGAACAATGTCATGCAAATAAAACGCGAAGCGAACGCGGCGAGCGCGCTCAGTTTGTAACATTCCTTTATTCAATTAACTACGTACCCATAAGTAATAATAATAAATTACCTTTAAAAAGAATATTGATTAATTTCGTATCATTTTCAATATTTTGTAACAGGAAACATTTATATTTATAACGTATTTATATAATAATAGCATTTAAAAGATTGTTCATTATTATTACCTAAAATTTAATATCTAAATTTATAATATTAATGTAATTGATGTAATGAGTAATAATAGTAAATAACGAATGGTTGCAATCACATGTGCATGTGTAATGAACGCACGAACGGCTACGTAGCGCGTAGACGATCTACGCGATTGCGCTACATGAGTGCTACGAATACGCTGCGTTCGGCATCCTATAGTGGATTAGACAAAGTCGTCATCAAATGTCTCAGTACCTAACGAATATGTATTAATGAATTGACTTCATATTTTACTCTATTACCTCAACTTTGATCATTACCTGTTGTATTGGTATTTAACCAGTGAAACTATAATGCATTTTATGTATGAATATTTGTTATTTACTGTTTTATAATTATTTTAATTAAAACTTGAAATAGATCTAAGTACGTTGTGACTCCACGGCCTAGTGGAGGCGTGAATATTTTTCAACAGTGGTCTTAAATTTAAGTTAATTAATACAATGGTAAGAAACAATGGATATTAATTACGTAATGCACAAAATCGTATATTATAATTACAATGCCTACATTCAAAGGTACAAGATAGAAACGAATTATTATCTTAATATGATGAGAGAATATATCGAAATGTTTCGACTTAGTTTCTCAAATTCCCTTATGTAATCGTAAACATGATGATGTTATCCTTAGGATAAAATTTTATATCATAATACATAATATAAGAAAGTATGTATACGAATTTCTATGATAGTCTTATAGGGAAGTAACCGAGAAACTTTAGCTACAAAACAATACATCGATGCAAAGAGGTGGTTTTATACAATTCGAATTAGGCAAAAATAATTACATTTATAGATAAAATATGCGCAATATAGTAGTATAGTTATTACTTTAATATTTGAATTTTTATTAAAAATAGAATAAAATATGTGTCGGTGGACGAGCGAGGATGGCGGCGGCTGCGCGGGCGCAAGCCGTCTTATTGTCTCCGGCCGGAGCCGGGCGCTCCGCCAGGCCTTTACCAAACAAACCTATTCCACTAGCTACCAAGTCGACTCTTCACGCGGAACACGGAGAAGGGTAGACATTAATGCTATTACAAAATAATGCGCTCCGAACTCTGCCCGAAACCCTATTAACACTGAAAAATCTAATCGTTATTATAAACTTCCTACGGAGAATGTTAGAGCACGAAATTCAAATTCGAAGGATAGGCACGAATCGCGCGCCGAACAATTGTTACACTATCTAACGAACTAAAAGTCTCGCGCGTCAAGGGATAGACATGCAAGTTATCTTAACTGTTATTAACTATGAATAATAAAATATTAAAGATACACCTCCCTGCAATTTAACCGTCTAGATGCTTATGAAATGTAATTTATTATTGACAACACATCTACGATACAGTCGAAGCGAGATTGAAAAAATACCTGTTTAATCGATAAACTATGTCTCGTTCACACGACAAAAAGTAGATTATTTACAATAGGGTATTTTAGGGAAGAGAGATAGAGAGATAGAGGGGGTTGGGGGGTGATTTTGGGGAGAAGAGAGGGGGTGGGATCTGTGTGAGATTGAGATGCCGCGGTCGAGGGATCGGTCCGCGCGGTGACCGGACGGATTGGATCACCGTCGCCGATGCGGCGCGCGGCGAAGCGTCGCGGGCGCCGCGAGCACTCGGGCTGTGGACCGGGCGGAGTTGCAGAGTCGGCGCGATGCTGGATGTGCATGCTGCGCGCCGCCACACCGCTCGCCACCTGCGGACAAACAGTTTTAAACCTTGTAGTAAAAGAATATACTAATTAACCAAAGTTTCAACTAATTCCTTAACATGTAGAATTTAAAAAAAGCAAGATAAAATTTGTAAAAGAAGGAAACTAAATGTTTTCTCAGTATGAAACTTAACTTCTTTCACGTTAGAATAAAAGCTAAAAGTACGTACACGTGTATGTAAGCAATTTTAACTATTGCATATTTTAATACATAAACGCTGTGCTTTTAGACTTAATTCTCAGTTTGTGAAAACGAGTATTAGCACTAGAGTGCTCATATTTGCAACAATTACATACGCTCGTTCTTTTAAAAGGCTATTCCGCCTAACGACGTTTTAATTATGCACAACAAGATACATTAAAAATACTTACGTAAATATTTGTGCTTTTGCGCTTTCAATGGTATCCGTTGGTGAAGGCCGCAGGAATCAGCGGTCCCTGTAATGTACACAACAGTGTTAACATTCATTGATTTCTAAAATCAAAATTTATATTAACATAATCGAGCTTAAAATATAACACCGCAGCGGTAGTTTTTAATTATAAACAAAGTTAAAAACAGCAATGTTCCCGTGAAACACTTTTCCATTTTAATTTCCCTTCATTCCCGAATAGGGAGTTTGGATAACGTAATTGAATGGGAGCATAAAACGATCGATTGGTTGTTAACCTCTCCGGGGGCAGATTTAAAGGTATTCAGTTTGGTGTCCACAGTCGATAGAGCCGTAGTGGATTCAGTGGCTAACAAAATAAAAACAGCGATGAGTTAGAGCGGCGCGACCGCTCGGCAATGGTAATTACACCGCTTGTTCTCCTTGATTTATGGTTATTGCCCGTGGGGGCATTCCCGGTATCTAATAAGACCATTTTACACCCGAACACCACATGTGCCGCGGCCTACATAGCACGTCTATTAAGCCATTCAAAACTCTATTCTCTAGTTATATTTTAAACTAGCTGACCCGGCGGACTTTGTTCCGCCTAACAGTCTAATAATATCGTGTTAACTTTAGTTAAACTTAATTTAGGATTTCATTAAGGTAATAACATTAATACAATAATATTTGTAATATATATATATATAATATATATAATAATAACATTAATATTTGGAGTGGAAGAATTCACCAAAAAAGAGATAACTAAAAATGGTTCCGCCGATTTTAGTTGAGTTATAAGTGGTGTTACTAACACGACTTTGTTTTATATATTTAGATATCGAATAAATTTTTAACGTAAACGTTCGCATTATGCAAACGAATGGAAGCTTTAGAACGTTTTGAAAAATGTCTTAAGATAGGACGTGAAGAGTTAAGATCTCAGCGCTCGCTGTGTTGGCGGCGACAAGCAATGAAGACTGATGGCGTCGCTTGGAAGCAGTTATGGAGCGCGGTCGCAGTTTTAAAAAGCCATTACCCGCGGCATTGCACCGCGCAGATTGCCGCCGCCGTCGCTCGCATGCTCATATTTCGGAACACTTTATAATCACATCTCTCACGCTTCACTGCCTCGCTAACTTATGTTGATTATGCCTTAAGAGCGACAAGGAAGATCGGTTCCCTAATGAGATTGGAACGTCTTGCTAAAATTTCAGTGTCAACGGCTGTTAATTGCGTCTGCGAAGCCTGTCGCCTCTCCCAAATGCTCTGTTGACTTACGTGTATTTAAAATAAAAGTTTAAATCAATATTTATTCTTTAATGAGAATATGGTATCTGTGTAATTAAAGAGGATCTGAAAATCTCTCAATAGAAATTTAAAGTTCAAAAAGAAAAACAAAACACAACAAACATTAATTTGAATTTTGTGACAGTTGAAACTTTACGGGACAATTTTATGAATTGCTTTTATTTGAACCTCACTGAAATAGGCATTTTTGAACATGACGTTATAAATGAAAAAAGTTGTAATCGAAAGTTAATAACTTTATCCCATTTATCACGAATAAAATAAGAATGAAGCTTTTTATTCTTTCCTAACTTTTATATTATAGTTGGTACATATTTACAATGTTTCATATATTTTGAGGTGATCTTACCGGGGTGTAATTAAGGGGTGCACGGCTCACAGCGATGGCTGGGAATCCAGAGGGCTGGGGACTCGCTGCTTGTACGTATCCGACGCTGTCTGCTGCAGATCCGTAGACGTCTAGCGCTGGTCCTGGCGAACTAGCAGTTGGAAATCCTGCCCGTCCTCCGGCCGTGTGAGGTGACGCTGGAGGCCCAAAGCCTGCTGCTGCCGCCTGATAGTTGTTCATTACTGCGAAATAAAATACTAATCTATTAGTGATCGCTACGGTTTGCTATAAATATAAGCTTCGCTTATAAAGTCGAATTTATTGACATTATGAACGGAATCCGACAATTACTTGAAAATAATAAATTAGTAAATTTTATATAAAGTTGATTAATATAATGTATTATTTTGTGTACCGAATAAAAAAATGAAATTTAAAATTACAACAATTAACATTTTAGTAATGAATTAAAATTCAATTAAATAAACAGATCAACTTAGGCCAGAATAGAAACCACACTACATCATACCAATAGTAGTTCTGTATGGAATTAGGGATGGTTGGTGTTAGGAATGTTATGTATGAATGTGGTGGAGGCCTCACCTGAGAGAGCCTGCGCGAGCAGCGGTGTGTTGTTATTCGGTGTGAGTTGGCCGTTCGTCAGGTCCACTGCAAACATACACATGGTTCGCACACTCTGGCCTGAGCACATACTCATGTTACACACATTCTATGACTGAACCATCTCCTATGCAAGCCTAATCCTAAATTACCGCATCGAGTGTCAACGTAATCCGTAACAATTCTACACCGGAAGTACGCGTAAATGCATGAATAATTTAGCCATTTAAGGCGAACACAATCCCCACGGTAAGACTATGTCAGCATAAAAATATTGTAAGTATTTCACGTGCATTCAAATGAAAAAAGGGAGGTCGAAGTTTCGCGCATATAAATCACAGAAGCAGAAAAAACTTTTACAAGATATCCAGTAAATTATCTGACGTGAGTTCTCGCTGGTACCGCGGTCTGCTTATTGAATAGGTACATTAGCATACCATGCACGTAGCAGGGCTCCACGCTGCCTCCGTTGCTTTGCGCCCGTACCGTCTTATCGCGTCATTTGCTTATTTATTTACCGTTTTCCACGTACAATAAACATCCATTGTTGCAACTTACTCACTTACGTTGAAAAGGTGCTACGATTTATGTCGACTCATACGTTTACCATTAGCAATATTGGCTTGTAGGACAAATTTTATTTTGTCAGATGTGCGAGTTATGATTTAGTGTGAAAAATGGAGGCCCGTTCTGCACCAGGTGATTACCGGCCTGTGAGTGACTTTGCAAAAAAGCACAATATAAGTAATGGAGGATGAATGATGGATGGGGTAGCGGCCAGTCGGACAGCGGGCTCGATCGCCGGCGCTCGGACGCGATCATCGCTAAAATGCTGACACATTTTAATAATGGTTATTTATTTTAAAAGTTGCTTTGGGAAAATTACGCTATTATAAAATAACTTATGAGAAGCTAAATGTATTTTTTCTAAGTGACTTTAAGGTGTCATTTATGTATATAATAGCTCGTTATATACACCTTGTTAACGTAAAATTGGAATCATGTGGGGTTCAAGTAACTTTACATGTCAAGTGTTATTTACTTCAGATTCATCTTTATTGGTTACATTTACTTGGGTGTCCTGTTGTTAACTTATGAAATCCACATTACACGTTTAGTTACAGTAAAAATCATTGACTAATACTGTACCCCCAAAATAATTTAATTACACCTGTAAACGCAGTGATAAACCAGAAACTGGAGGCATTCGATTAAGATTGATAAGGGCCTAAAATTGGAAACGAACTTTTAAGATAACAGCGCCAATTTTCAGTTTTATTGGCTTAGGTGAGAACTCGTAAGGACTTTATTGAGGTACGGGGTGATTCGCACCCCAAGTAAGCCTCTCACCTCTCGGGAAGCACACATTCATCTATAAATTCTGAGGCCGTCTTGCGAGCTATTCGAACTTTCATAATTGCGAAGTTCGGAGAAACTTAATAATTCTTCTTCACAAGTGGGATGGCCGTGCAAAATATTCACAAGGCGTTCGGAGGAAAACTCAAGGAAAGATGCTGAACGTTTTACGCACGCCCTTTATTTGGAGTTCGATCAATCTAGCGATTCCTTATCGGTTCATATTTTTGGCGTACAAAGTTATTCTATCCGGGCTTATATTATATAAGTTCGCGTGTAAGGGTAATATACTTAATCACATTGCGAGTTATATGGATTTAAAGTTAGGATAGTTTGTGAGTTTTGTGTTTGAGAATTAATGTTAAGCCATAAATTTAAGAAATTGAAAGGAACTCAAGGATAAATTTTGAATTTATAAGTTGTAAAACTGAATGACTGTGAAGAATATAAAATAAAATCAGTGGCGCTATAACCTTTTGAGGTCTGGGCCTCAGATTTCTGTATCTGTTTCATGATCATTTGTCAATATAATAGGCAAGCAGGTCAGCCTCCTGCACCTGACACGACTTCAACCTTTTGGGTCTAAGGCAAGCCGGTTTAATCACGATGTTTTTTTGCACCATTCCAGTGAATGTTAAATGCGCAGATATAAAGAAAGTTCATTGGTGCACAGCCGGGGATCGAACCTACAACCTCAGGGATGAGAGTCGCACGCTGAAGCCAAGAAATTAAATACGTTGCAAAAACATTATTTGCTATTATTACCGATTTATTATATTTAAACCTACATAAAACTCGACTTACAGTTTATTAACAAGTTAAACAAAAGTCATTGGTGTTAAGCCGACGCAAATCACTATTAAAACATGTAAAACGTAATCAAAATACTCCGATATAAATTGTTAGTAGCGTTAATAAATAACAAGATGAAATAGCATGCAAACACGATATTTACAACGTTTTGGAGGGAAACATTATTTACGCATTCAAAAGTTGTAGAGTCACATATCTCATCGGCGTAATACTCATACTTCATTTCTCACTTCGAGATTGAAATGTATTATTTTAGCTTTTACGTGAGTTCTGCCCCTGCGTATAGAAAACGTATATTTAATAGGTGCCATCAATAACTTCCCTCACTGAGATGATACTGAAGCGTGTTTCGGTTGCGAATATTTCTCACTGGATTTATCGTTAATAGCTTATTTTTAGTCAATGGTTCAGTCATAGATTAAACACGTAAAGCCACAATTTAGAAGCGGAATTAGTCACACATTAATTAAGGCAAAACTTTCAAAAAAATTTCTACGTATAAAAACAGTTCTACCCATCATTAAAACGCGGAAATGCCGCCATTTTCTACATTTAAACTACGGAGAGTTATCAATATTTCTATTCTATCATTGATTACAAATTATACTACTTATTCTAAACTTAGTTGATACAATATTAATAGAATTGCAGCCTATTATTACGTATGCCTAATGCACAATTATAGAAAATATAACTATTCTAGCTTAGATCTAATTATCACTACCATTTTAAATGAGTTTGCACCACCAATATTTTGTATACTTCTACAGACTATATGTTAAGCGTCGTACAATTCCTCCAGAAATCTCTGTTATTCACGCTAATCGTAAGCTCTACTGTAGAAGGAAATTGCCTGCCGCGACTTAAACCTCTATTCTATACTATTCAGGAAATCCGCTAAATATAATTAATTGCCTGTCTACAATTTTTTTACAGAATTTCACGCTCTAATACTAGAGTACTAAGATTATCGGCTAAGCTGTTCTAATTTACATTTTTATTTCAATCCTGGTCTAATACTGTTCACACTTTACGCACAAATGTTGCCTACTCTAGTCTATCGTTAAACTTTATCAAACGAAGATGGTGAAAATATTACTCGCCCTATAATTGTCGTGGACGGCACTCTCCATTCACCAGCAGTTTCTTGGATCACTACACTTTTGCGTTTATCGTATACCCTATCGTAGACTTAAAGGATAGCAGGATTTCGATTTTCTATTTACATTTAAAATGGCATAGAAGAGATTTTATTGCAGTGCAAATATTCTGAATTTGAAAAAAAAAAGTAAACTTCGAAGTCGAATTTGTAATAAAAGACTAAAATATGTTTCCGTTAATAAACATTCAGTGATTTTTCGCAAAGTACAGACCCACACTGGCTGAACCATTATTTTTTTAATTAAACCGCCTTCTGTTCCGCTCCTAATTTTAACTTCCCCTAGAGTTCGTTACATAATTCGGCTTGTTTACGAGTTTATCGGGTTCCTTGGTGACAACGCAAGTGTAAAAACAAGAAACTATGTAAAGTAGTTATGTTTGCGGGCTGCATTCTGAGGGCGAGCGTGTTGAATGCGAGGAATCTCGAAGATGCGGCCGCGTTCTCGCGGTCTCACATGCCTCTTCTGGGACAGGAGTCTATGTAGATATAACAACTAACCTTCTTATTTTATACTCATTACTCTCGTCTAAGTATACGCAATAAAACATTTCTTAAATGTCACAGTTTTAACGTTCTATCCACTTAACACTATCTCTTCTAGCCACTCTGTGTTGGTTAAAATAAATTGGAGAGTAAGACAAGACATTTGCATATACATTGGCAAATTCCTTTATTTTTAAAATATAGCGGCTTCACAATAAGTTCTTAAAATTAATATAGACGATATGTCGAAATAGTAAGAACAATGTTTTGACTTAATTAATACGTTGACACGATTACAATTTAATTATAAAAATTGTGCAATATCGATACCTAAGTAATTGAATAACATTGGATTACTTCCTGAGGGATACCGCTTATTTAGTTCGAGCTATAGGGGCGAGCCTAGTCGGGTAAAAACATCTGCGAAATCGCGTGAATTATTGATTTACAGCTAGCGACATTGCATTCCATAGCTACGTTTCAAAGATGGCGTCGGATTCGAAATTTAAATTCAAAGTTGTAACGCAATGAGTTTCCGGGAGCCGTAACGGATGTTCAATAACGTAAGTCGTGAAGCGTAGTGGTCGTGGCGTGTCGTCCATCGCAGAACCTATGAGCCTTGAGCGAGCCCGTTAGGATTTACATACTCCACACCGACCAACAGACGACTTTCCGCCGGTATAACTCCCACTACACCTGCGACAAAATAAAAAGCTACAAACCCCGCGGAACTAAAAAGGACTCGGGCAGAACCGCGGCGCTCAAATTAAAACTAAACTGAAAGTATGTCAAAAAGTAGCTTCGTTACGTCGAGTTTACGTTCTCAAATTCCGAGGGCTGTTTAGAGTATTACAAAACAAAAGTATAGAGAATGTTGAACATCCCACGGTTCCACTCATCGAATGTTTATGGAGGAACTTAAATCGCTCCTGATTACTACTTGGGTTATTTAAATTACTAGCACGCACATAATGACTACGTATTTTTCGTATTAAGCCAAACCTACATCACGCACAAAATGCAGGAAAGGGGAAGTTATTGATGAGTTATTTTCCGCGTGTTTTGGTTATTAAGTTATTACCCGTACGGCAAATTCTAAGAGGATAATAAAGGTTTTTGATCTTAAAAATCGAATTAATTATGGCCACACTTTATTATTAAACTTACGCTTAAATATAACTAGTTTAGAGGATGGCGATTAGGACGGTCGCACAACAGCGATATGATTGGATCGAAATTACAAAAGCCGTTTTTTTACAAAATTTAATTTTGAAATACAAAGTGCGAGGCGCGGCGATAAAGCGATGGCTTATGATTGTAGATCCTTTGAAGCATTACGCCAATGGTATCATTATTAAAATTACAGAACAATTTAATATTTTTCATACGTGTTGTAGCGTAAAATAGTAGCATCCAAAAATATTACACAACAATAATAAATATCAACATTAATGTAACATTATCGCTTAAGCAGTGTAAATATATTAAAATATAATAGACAAATAACGTTCAAACAATAATGTATATACATTTAATTATACAATAGAATTAATGCGAATATAATTAAGATATTAAAATAACATTTTCAAGCTCGTTTATAGTATTTTTCATCAAATAAAATATCTAAACTAATACTAGATATTTCGCTACAGAAAGAAAAATTCTATGTTTTTGGTTGATTCCTATTCATCCTCTAAACTGAGTAGTTATTTAGAAATTAATATCTATAACTACGATGAATTTGAAAATCTTAACTGTCTAGAGAAGAAATTGATTATATTATTACTTAGATAAACTCGATATACTGAACACAATTCCTCCTACTCATAAAGATCTACTGCGTATACTTATTTGAAACGGATTTTATTCATAGCGTAGAGGTAAGTTTTAAAACATATTGTCTCATCATGATAAAACAATTCTCCATTGAATGAAAAAAATATAATTCTTTATTTACCCAAATAAAGTAATGTAAAAACATAAAACACTTGTATGTTTCACAGTTAGTTGAATTTCAAAAACTTTTGTTATTAAATAATTTATTCTATTAATTGGACGCCACATGGCTTCCGATGACAAACAATTGAAGGTAAAAATTGTGTTCAGTGTCACTTTTTAAGTCCTATATCTAAACTAGAACATGCTAATAAGAGAATACATGTATCTCTATTAAACTATCTATTATTGTAAGAGAAATCTTTATTCTAACTACACCTATTGTCTACTTGATGAAGACTATGTTACTTTTAAAATTACCTACTATATCTAAACATGCTAGTACACCGATTGTACTGGTTCGGTATTGATTTATGATTATCTAGCTTTCGCCTACGGCTTTACTCGCAACGAATTTGTAAATATCAACGCTACGAGTGAAATTATAATGTAAATCGGACCAGTAGTTTAAAAGTTGACAAACAATTTTTCTTTATTTTTGTGTCTAGTATTTTATATAATTTGTAGTGTAAGTTAATCTTCAAACTTAAGACTATCAACGTTTAGTAGTGCTGTGGTAGAATCAAGTAGTTAAACACAGACACTAAACGTGTAAAAACGTTTATGAAACACTTGCATTTACGGTTTAATATAATTTGCTGTGATTTTAACCGTCGACGTCCACGCTTGTGAATTTTCATTGCATCGAAAAAACACATAAAACGATAGCCGCCTTTATTGGTTTATCATAACCTGCTATAATCTATCTCGCGTGCTGTTAAATGGAAACATAAAAGTAGTTAATGCGGAGCAAATTGCTGTGTATAATACAAATGAAAAATGCAAATAGTATTAGCCCGACTTCCGATAACATCGATAATTGAATAACGATGAAAAGATCAACTAACATTTACGTCATATATTTACGAATGGAAATGGAAATATACGTATATTGTTAACGAAGTCCGCGCAAGCACGGGCACGTAGTTTTGATAAACACTAGTAGTATTTGTGCAGCTGCTCTCCGCATCGCGTTTTGTCGATTAGGCAGCGACTGACACAGCCTACAGTTTCGTTAGTTTTCCATTACGAAAATAAACCTAATCCGTAAGAATAATACTGACTGAAAAATTAACGCCTCGTTTCGCGTTGAAAATACACTCGCATTTTATAAAAATACATAAATACGTATTCCGCCAGACATTCACGGAAAGTTACCCAAAAAGGGACTTCGTTTCCTAACTCTTATTTTTCCAGCCCAAACTTGTATAACTAAAAGAATAGTTGAAAATTTTTCCACTAAGGGTAGAAGAGCAAACGGTCGCACAAAGAATTTTGCGGTATTCGCGTTTTAGTATTTGTTCAGCGCTTACCATTTGAGAATCGTTAGAGGAAATCGCATGTAAACATTCGGTCGTACGCTTGGCCGGATTGTCGCGACAATATTTCGATGAAATATAAATAGTATATCTCAAAAGTTGGACGTTTTATAATTGACGGCGTGGCAGATTTATCTAGATGGCTCAGTCATTGTTGGAGGTGTTAACTTGTTAGTTGGAGTTCACACGAACTTTTGCATGAGTTAGTGAAATGGGAAGTTGGGATATTGTCACCCGAGTTATAGATTACACAAAGCGTATGCGTTTTTAAAGTTATCAATGGGTAAAGCGCTGGTGCCTTTTGGAATCGTTAGCTGTTAGTGGAATGCAGTGTCGCCGCGAGTTCACAGATGCATGGCGTGTACATTGTAAACCCCGCTCAATTCGAGCGGGTGGTATGGGAGAAGTGTCGCCAAGTGATGGTAGTGATTGCCGGACAGTTGGTGGTGCAAGCTCGCCAAGGGATTACCTGCAGGATATGGCAGCCCGAAGCTAGGATAGCCCGAATAGCTACGTCCGGCCGCATAAGCGGCGTATGCTGCGGGAAAACCTGTCAAACAAACAAGCATTGTTAAAATACAAACACAAGAATTAGTAAAAACATATCAAAGAGATTTCATATGTAAAATAAGTTCAACGATTGTAATAAAATCTGATCTTCCGAGGCAATGAAAAAATTCCAAATGGCCTACTTCTAAAATAGACAACGGATTTTAAGGTATGGCTTTGGACATTGTCCAGAGCAGATTATTTTGTAAACATCGTTTAATGTTCGCTCTATAATTGTTAAGACCCCAAACTATAAAGACATTCCATGTTTACTAAAACTGCTATTAAATACAACTATGTTACTACTACTAAATGATTCTACCACATTTAAAGCGAAACATTGGCTTTTCTACGTTTGGCAAAAATGACTGATGGTGACGTCATCGAATAATTATCCACCCGGATCGTCCATCATAATATTGCCAATCAAAATAGTGTATCTGTCAGGCCACATGATGCATCATTCGTGGACACTCACACTTTGGTAATCCATTTCCCCAACCCATTAGTACAAAGCAAGTATGTCAAAGCAATTAGTAAACATGATTGAAATTATCATCATGTTTTTCACCAACATTTGAAGTGATTACGTGAACATATATAAATATAATAATAAAACTTACCATCAGGAAGCGCACCCAATGACCACATGAAATCTAGAAATGTAAAAACATTTACATAAATTGATCGATTTTTACACCTTACATATATTTCTGCTATATTTTAGTGTGCCATGAGACACTATTTTGCTTGGCGGTTATTGCAGAAACATCAATATACATAAATATAGCAAAGACAACAACTCTAATAGTTCTACACTTATCCATATATCTATTATGACATGGGGTATGTTAGTTTCTACCACCATATATGATTATTATATCTTCAAAAACGCTTAACTATTCTATATGTTAGTCTAATTCTAAACATGTTAAACAAACAGACTTTTTTAAATATTCAAGAAATGATATTTATTAATCTATATTTAAGTATTAAAGACTCTACTTATTAAGTTAATACAATCATTAATACTATTAGTAAATGTACTACACTCGATACATTTTGATAACACAATTCTCCTGTTATACAATGAAAATAATAGGAAAATACAAACTAAATAAAGTCTAATAGGAAACAATAAACATATTATAAATATATAACAGAAAATATATAAATAAGTTGAAGATAACTATTACCTAAGTACAACTGAAAGTAAACTACCTTTTCAAACCTAATATAATTAAAAAACTATTCAATTCACAAAACTCGTATCAACATCGACTGTTCACAAATACCTCTCTGTTCCAATGTTAACATTTTTGAAAAGCCGACATCAAGATGTAAAGCTAGCATAGAAAAACTCTAAGGAATATAAATATTATTTACGAAAATATCATTTCAAAACATCTCATCAATTTAGCCGCAACCGATAATGTAACTAAACTTCTAAAGTGATTGAGTTGTATTATATGGATGGAAATGTAGCAAAACTGGCAAGACTCAGCAGAACCGACGGGCTCTTATTTAATTTTCCCTACGAAAAGCTACTCGGAAATCAGGAAAAACCAGGCTCAGTTCTATTTTATCTAGCTATTCGTAAATCAAATGAGATTAAAGCACCTACAAACCTGGTAGAAAAATAGTTTCATTCTTTCTCCCTACGTAAAATTATTCGCGTTCCTTTCTCTACGTTTTAATAAAAATTTTGTCTGTATAAAATTACATTAGCTGACTATGACTCGTCTAAATTCTCTCTGTACATAATACATAATATGTCAAAAATCTGCTATCTAACTGAATCGTCTAGTTGCATTACTAAAAATAAGACACTTCGTATTATTAATTAAGTACATTCAAGGGGATAGTTAAGGAATGTATGAAAATTACGGGAAGATTGCACGCAAATTATTTCAGGGTGTTAGGTTAGGTAAGAAGTGATGCGGCTGTTGTTGAAAGAGAATTGCGGATCAGAGAGGAAGAGGTGTAGGGAGTGTTGACGCAGTAAGAGGAGAGTAGAGGGTGGGCATATCAAGAGCATGAGCACCTAAAAGTTCAGAGACGGAGTAAGCGAGTGGTGTCATGGTAAGAGGAGTCATGGTGGGACGGTGTGGTCTGGGAGTCGGTCGTAGGGCAGCGAGTGCGCGCCGATACATAGCTGCGTGGGCGCTAGAACTTGCACCTAAACCGGCGCCGGTGACGAGGATTTGCGCCGGCGCATGAACAGGATAAGGAGCATATCGAACGCCACCAGCAGCCACTGCGCTACTTAGCAACTCACCGTAGGCCCCGCGTCCTGCAGCTCTCGTCTTCGCCAAATTCGCTGGCAGCATTACTTCTTTCGGTTGTGCCTTTTTGCATTCCACCTGAAACAAAAAGTTTTTATATATTTTGTTTTTGACGCTTATCTTAATATATTCATTCTAATCGCAGATATAGCGATATAAGCAAGTGAGTTCACATGAACTATACATTAATTAAAAAAATGTTATGACATTTTCTGCAAGATTGTTCAATATCAAAGGAATGTTCAGTAATTTTCTTTTTTAAATGCTTGTCAATAACTCTAAGAAATACCTGCCCTGTAACTTTCAGATAAAACAATTTAAATTTAAATATTAATGAAGTGTTTAATATTAAAATCGTTCTCGACAGTCCTGAACAAATATCATTACAGAATGAGTTGCAGAATTATGTAAGAAAAGAGGGCCGGAATCGGTTGACAATCCGTTATGCTTCATGGCTGGTGTCTCAAATTGAATTTTAATATGCTTTACCAAGTCAAGTAGCTTATTATACTTATCACACAGAAGAATACGGTATTAAGGCGGCAGAAATAATTGTTTATTCTGAATTTGTTTCCTTTGAATTTTGTATACATTGAGGCGGGGTTGAACTTGTTTTATATACAGGTACTTATAACGAGTGTTTCGTTTAACTTTTATTTATTTATTCATAAAAACTTATTGTAGTAGCTATTACAATTAGCATACAACAAAAAAAACCGAATATCTCAGTATTTTTATTATTAAATAGTAGTTTGTGAATTTCATTTATAGAGTGCCCTACAAAAGCCATATCTTTTATCTTGAACCACTTAAAAGAAATCATAATATGAATGTATTTCATAACAATAATAAAAACAATACTTTATTTCGAATATTAAATCGTACAGTTTTATATTTTATATTATTGGTACTGTATACAATTTGATGTAGCCAGCACTTGTAATTGTCTGTATTAAAACCCAAGGCTTAATCGTTTCATTAAGCAATTTTAACGAAGGCTATGGGTCCCTTCCTTGCTTGTACTTTCCCATTTCTGGGAAGGGCTGGAGGCAAATATAAATTACCCAATCTACGCTAACCCAAATCTCTAGCAATAGACATTCGCTACAATGTAAAAGGCTTTTTGTAACATGATAAATTGCTTAAAATTTAAATGAAATATATAATGTAAACATCATTTTGGGTTTATAACCATTACGTTGAAGCAATAAATATGGATTTCATTCAATAAGATTTAGATCAATAACAGATATATTTAACTTGGTTTTCTCGCACAAAATTGTTCACACCGAACTGAATTAAATATTCCAAAGACCGTTACAAAAACGAGTGTTTTTTGTCATCAAGACGCTTTTAAAGTGTGGATAATGTGACATCGGTGCTGAATGATAAATTGTAACGTTTAAAACCGCTTGTCAGGCGGACTAAATCTCCCGAGATACATTTTTCATACCCTTGCATAATCGCGACGCGTTGTATGTACATAGAGACTCGTCCACATTTGTCACACGGCCGTCATGAGCCGACAAATGAAGGCTTTACCGCGCTCTAGTACTTTGTGCAGCCTGCACTTTACACAACTTTGTGGAGACACGAAACTACGTGCTCTCGCACTAACGTGGGGTGTGTGAGTTTGCTCTGAGTGTCTTTTCACCAAGTTTTATGTCGAGATAAGTCTTGAATAATCAACATGTAAAGCTCGCGTCTAAAGTTCGGATTGTTTGTACGTATTAGTTGTGCATAATTAGTTTGCGTGAACATTGACGCTTAGACCAAAGATATTTTTTAATTCGTCTTATTCTTTGCAAACCTATATGATGGTTTTTTTTTATTAGAAAAACAACATTAAAATGATAGTAGTTCAAATATGCCTAACTGATATTGCCAATAAAGCAATTGTTAAAGTCAAAAGTTGCGCAAATAACTCACACGACCCACTATTTAATGCTATCTGAATAACGATATTTCAATGAAATAGGTAGATAAATTGAAATTCTCTGCACTGGAAATATATTTATCACTCAAAATTTTATTATCACGAATATCGAATTGAATTGGAAATAATAGAATCAGAATGTCCGTTGAAAAACCTACGTATAGCCACGAAGAAAATTTAGACCGGCCCCGTTAATTGATGTCGCGTTGGTGAACGGGAAACAAAAGCTTACAAACAATTCGTATTGGAGTTCGCACTGCCGATCGAGCGTTCGAAATCGCGACGCAGTTTAATGACACGAAAAATAACAAAGGTAAATTGTATTTAGCCCCGGTAGACGCGCCCTGCCGATCTATCGATCGAAGCGACGCGAAAGATCTCGATTTAACCGAGCGGACTTAAGATTTGTTCAATAGGTCTCGGCTTAGTACCGAGCGACTTAAATTCCACTTCGTATGAGGAATTTAATTGTTTCGCATCACAGCATGTTTCATCACCTTCGATTGATGCGAATTAATCTGAAAGCAGTCATTAAATTTCCGCTCGATATGTTCCAATGAAATGATTTCAAGTGAGCCTACATGTCAACATGTAAGACAGTTAAGGGCACATTGAGTGCTTCGTCGGTATTGTTCAAATATTCGGCACTGATGTTTATTCAAATACGCCATCCTATCGGAATAATCACATTTTTACTTCATCCATTTTTATATTCGAATAAAAGCGTACGAAGACATGGATTTTTTGTTGATCTGTCGTTTTATTGTATCTTTTTTATTTGAATTCTTAATGTAGATGATGAATCAGAGTATAGTTGGAAGCAAAGACCTGTGAAAGATGTTATACTCGCGTTTAAATAAAGTAAGCACGAAAACGCGTCTGTACAACAATATATATGAGAAATTGATATTCTTCGTTAGAACCATATTGAAATTTCTTAAATTTTGTTAATTGTTATAAGATATTTATTTTAAAATAGACTTTACGATAATGAAGTATTTTTTATAGATTTCAATCACAATGCGGAAAATAAATTAAGTTTTTTTAAACTTCAAACTGAGTTCGCATGTTTGTTTACGTTAACTGCATTTATTCTGCGTTTGAAATTTTTGTTTCGTTTAAATTCTTGCTGCGGACTACGGGCAGATCGCCAAATAGACAACTTTTATAAGAGGATAAAATATTGCAGATCTTAAACCAATATGAAACTATCAAAGCCCTTCATATTCTGCAGTATTCAATTTAAGTTATGAGAAAATAGGTTTATTAAAACTTTGCTTAAATTTCAATGTCAACAGAAAGGCTGTGTTCTTTGCAGGCCGTAGTCCCCTAGTATTCGGTATCACGACATATTCCGGTTCTTAACTTAGTTAAAGAAAACAAATCAAACAAAAAGTCATTTTTGACAATACTTTAGAAATGTAGAGACTTTTCTAAGTACACGATCTCATATGTCTCTTGTCTTACTAGGGACTTGTTAGTAACATTCCTTAATTTGGTTGGAAAGGCTTAATGCGTGAGTACAACATGCCGACCCGCCCAAGGGGTTAGGGGGAAGGTTAGATAAGTTTATCAGGGAAATCTCTCGCATATTGACAGAGCGTCGCAAGGACCTGATTGGCGCTAAACTGAAGCCTCGACGAATAAGTATTAATTTATAAAATGTAGAACTAACTCTCGGTACTCCTTTATTTTATTTATCTCTTTCAAGGTGTTCATGTATATAAACTACATACAATAAAAGAGATCTCTATTTATATATGCACTCGGCAGACTACGGTCTGATATGGGCGGCGTTAGCATCAGGCGAGCCTCCTAATGATTTATGAACAAAATATATACTTTTTTGCAACTGGGCAAACGGGCAGGAGGCTCATCTGTCGTTAAGTGATACCGCCCATGGACAATCTCATTGCCAGAAGGCTCGCAAGTGCATTGCTGGGCTTTAAAGAATTGGTACGCTCTGTACTTGAAGGACCTTAAATCGAATTGGAAATACTTCAGTGGCAGTTTTAATCGAAATAGAAAAAATAGGTCATGCCATCCAATATTTTCTGAAACCTTTTCCTTCTATATCATCTCCAGTTACACGTAAGACTTACATCGATTCTGGGCTTAAATACGCATCTCGTCAATTTTCGTGGAGTTGGCTCAGCAATGTTCATAAAATTTTTGATATAAGAAATCCTTTCGAGGGGCCGGGTTAGGTAAGATGAGTTACAAATCTTACGTTCAACAGGTCACGGATAATGAAACACTTTGCGCACCACGGGAGCACTTTGCATATTTACTTTATCTCGAAAGAGTTATTATTAAATTTCGATTGTCAATTTATGACTTTAAAAAAGTGTTTTTAGAAGATTTCTATGACTTATTGTATGGTATGATTTTATATAAATATGAAATAATATGTAAATATATTTTAAGGAATTTATAATTAAGTTTGTTATGGAAGAGCTGGGAACCCTGACACAGGTATATTTTTACTTAAAAGGGTTCCCAAATCTTACAGATTGTAATGGATATGTACTTATTTTTATTACACATTTGAATTTATTTTATTTATGATAAGAGTTAGCTTAGTTACCTGCCTAGAAACAAGCAGGAAAAGAAAGAAAATTTAATACAAAATGTTAGTCATAGTGTGGGGTTATAGAACTATGCTATCCTTATTTAGTATTATCATAACCATGTTCATTTATTCCGTCTTAAAGTGAACTAACCCTCCGTAATATTGTGATTTGATAGTGTAAGTCAGGCGAAATTTATTGTGATTAAAACATTTCAAATCTATATTGATACCATGCGCCCATCAACTACTCAAAAAATAATCTTTTAAGTGTTTAATTGTCAATTTATCTTTTTGAAAAGTAAGGAATTATGTTAAACGTTTCAATTAGAGAAAATTTTAAAGGACATGACTGGCAAAACTCCACTTTCATTTGGGTAAGTGTTAAGTCTTTTAGGCTCAGAAAGTAGCTTAGTCATGTTTTAATTTCTTATGAGTGAAACTTGAGTGGACGAAGTTATAACAAATTAAAATGCGTTTACTTTTCGCCAAGCTATTATTAAAACTTGGGAGAGTGTTTTGGGGACTTTGAACATATAAAGTTTTTTATACGTAACAAAACATTTTTCAACAACAATTTAAATGAGGTAAGAAAAAATTTCTTTGAATAGAAATAGAAATGGGCTGGTCATATAATAAGAGGTATAGAAAAGTGGAACAAAAACACCCAAGAAAAAAGAGAAGAAAACTTGGTAGACAGTTTCGAAGGTGGGAAGACAAAATAAAATCCGTAAGTGGAAAAATATGGACAAGGAAAGCTCAGAACAGAGCAGAGTGAAAAGAAATGGAGGAGGCCTTTGCCAAAGTTGGGCAAACAGATGGGTTGTCGGTGTCACCGACTCACTAGAGACAATAGTTTAAGTTTAAAATTATGTAAAATATTCTATCTGAATACAGGCTTATATAATTAGAAGAAAAAATTCTACGTAAACAATAATTTCTCAACAGTTAATGTATGTCATAAACTCTTATTAATTCTTGTATAACATTAAAAGTCTATTAAAATTCAAGTACACGTATGATATTCCGTCAGTAATAAATCGTCCCTCCATGCTTTATGAAGAAAATTCATCAAAGACATGAAATGTTCGCGTGACATAGGCCATACATTTTAAATAGCATTGGCATTGCCGTCATAGAAATGTTGGTAGGACATTAAATATTAAGATTGGCGCACAAGCGACTTGCAACATTCATTAAACATACTTCGTCTATTCCTGGGTATATCGATCGTAATTGGCAACTAACAGGCGAAAAGTAGCCTTAGAATAATTCAAACCATTGAAAAGGTTGTGTTTTTAACTATTTTGAATAAGAAAAATCCTGGATAACTCAAATGTACTAAAGTTTTGATTAAATACTATAAAAGATAGATAGATATTGATTTATTAACGTTATAAGTATATATTATCTATTCTAAAATATATAACAATGATTGTAAACAGTGAAAAAATACTAAAATACACTACACTTCCAGTTTTAGAATTTACTAGTTTTTTTTCAAAAATAAAAAATCAGATAGGTACTTAAAAACTTTTTAAATCTGCTGTAATAAACATATTAATATAGAGAATCACGTAAAGATTAAACATATGAGCAATATATACTATATCAAATACCTTTAACTGGAAATTGGACCATTTCGTAAAATTAAAAGTTGATAATTTCCCAACTTGGCAATACTCGAATCTTAAAAACGAGCTTTAATGCGAAGCAAAACAACTAAAATGCGCATTGGCAAGTAGCTGAGCCATGTTAGCGGTCGTTTGCAATTGTAAGTGGACGATTAACGGGAACTCGGTACTTCACTAATTCCTATCAAGCATTAGGATTCTAGAAAAGGCAGAAAAAGGATAAACCGATTGTGAACGGCGAGCAGTGGCATCGTTTAGCCAATTGAAGCGTGGGTATAATGAAATCTGTATAATATTAAACGAGCAACCTATAAAAGTGTTTTCATGTATCTAAAACGTTTACGAATTCTCCAATTCGAATT